CAGTGTTCAGTTCATCAACTCCCCCCATTTGTTTCCTTTTGTGTATCCACTATATTTCAAAGCTGAGAAAGTATAACCCAGCCACAGACCTGATAATGTTTCCTTTGGTGCCAGGTTTTCTAAAGTTTGTTTTTCTGCAATCTGAACCTTTAGAGTATGATTAACTCAGATTATAAGATTATTAATAATGGGGGTTGAACATATTTAAAGAGGAAATAATCATATTCAACATAATCTAAAATTTTTATGTGAAGAAGAGAGCTAACAAAAGAAGAACTAACCAATGAATAATTTAATGCTGGTGCCTTGATTGTAGATGTAAGTGAAATTCTTCCTGAATTTGTAATTTGGTATTTTTTGATTTTGATGAAAAATGAGTTTAATGAGGGTCATTTTATTTAACTAAATATTCTTGAGAAATAACTTAAGGAGAATCTAAATTCTACAACTAGGTAGTCGATGAATAAAGCTTTGGTTGCTCCCGTGGCATGTAAGCTAGCTAAAATTATTCTATGTTATTATATATATGCTTAGATTAGATAAAGTTCAAAAGGATTTTATATTGATTATAGACACCTGAGCAATTGGAATCTTGTATTAGATTGGCTTGGAAGTTGAACTTATGCCAGGAGGAATGTCATTATTTTATGAATTGGGTAACCCAGAAAGTGACCTGATATTTATTCATTTAAAAAACATCAAATAAGTACCTGAAATGTGAATTGAGTGATTGAAATGAGAATTGCACAGCAGGATAAATAGGTGAAAGTATTTCGGTTAAGAAATACATTATCAGATAAAACTCTTGTTAGAGAAAAACCGAATTAAATTAGACTCTTGATGTGACTCAATGTACCAGTCAGAGATCCATAGGAAACAGAAGCCACTCTAGACATTTGGGTCAAAAAAGAATGTAATACAGGGAATTGAGACCTTGTAAGCTCCTTCAGGGAGCTAAGAGAAGTTAATTCAGGTTAACATGACTGTAGCTAAAATCCAGTGGTCAGAAAGCAGCGTGTGCCTGTTACCATTACTGATGCCACTCTGTCTCAAGCTCCTGACGCTGGTGACCAGAGCCTCAGATGAGGATCCCACTGACCACAGAGACCAACATGGGTCTACCGTACTGGCCTGTTTCCACAGCAGCAGGAGGTGCTCTCTGTCTCACCTCCATCTTCCAGATCTCCCAAGAAACTATCTCATTGGTAGAATGTATATCACACATAGCCCCTTCCTGCTGGGGAGACTAACAAATGCATGGTTTGCCTTCCAGCCCTTTTAATACAGGGGGTTTCATAGAAGGGGATGAAAATGGATGCTAAGTCCACATCTAGCACACTTAGTCTATTTTTCATGTGTGTTTTTCAAAGATTTTATTTATTTATTTATTTATTAGAAAGAGAGAGAGAGAGAGCGCGCGTGAGCGCACAAGCCTGGGGGAGAGGCAGAGGGAGAAGCCGACGCCCCGCTGAGCAGGAAGCCCGATGCGGGACTCGATCCCAGGACACTGAGATCATGATCCAAGCTGAAGGCAGATGCTTAACCGACTGAGCCACCCAGGCACCCCGGTTCTGAAGACTCATGATAGCCTCCGGTAAGTTTTTTAGGAAGGTAAACAAAAACATCAGGAAAACGTCCTCAAACTATTCTACATTCACAAGGGTCTAAAGCTTAACTTTGTCAGAATATGACACAGGCCTCCATGGATTAAAGGACCTTAGATATATAATCCGAAATTTATTTTTAAATAAAATTTTATCTTCTGTATTTAGTAGGAGGAGAAATATTATCATCTTGATTATAATGTTCCTGATGACGCTGAATCCAGCTTTACCTAATTGCTTGTTGTATTTCAAGATAACTGAGTAAAGATGATGATGTTGATGATAATTCAATGTTTATTGAGCACTTACTAAGTTTTAGGTATTTCATAAGCATAGCTTATTTAATTTTCATAACTACCCAGTGAAATGGCATACTATTCGCTCCATTTTACCCATGAGGAAACTGAGAATTACATTAATTACCTTGTCCAATGTCATACAACCCACCAAATCTTATCCTCTTGTCTTCTTCATCTTGGCAAATACTGTCATCTACCAAATTTCTCAAGTCAGAACATTCAGGCATCACCCAAATTCTTTTTTCGTACCCCGACATCAACTCCATCAGCAAGTGTTATTGCCTCTACCACCAAAATATGTCTAAAAATACTTCAATTATCCCTCTAGTCTAAGCCACCACCATCTTGTGAATACCTCACAAACCCCCTGACTGGTCACCTTGTCACTACTCTTGACTCTCGGCAATCCATTTTCTCTTCTGCAGTGAGAATGAATTGTTCTGCTTAAAACATTTGAGTGGCTTCTCACTGTACTTAGAATAAAACTCAAACTTCTTACATGATGTTTCTCCTACTTACCACTATAAATCATCCCATGTCTCTCACCCTTACCCACTGCATCCTGGCCACACTGACTATATTAGTTTGCCATGGCTGCCATAACGAAGTATCCAGATCGGATGGCTTACATGATAGAAATTTATTTTCTCACAGTTCTGGTGGCTAGAAATTGGAGATTAAGCTGCCCAGCAGTTGGTTTCTTCTGAGTGCCTTGAGGAAAAGATCTCTTCCAGGCTTCTCTCCTTGGCTTGTAGATGGCTGTCATCTACCTCTGTCTTCACATCATTTCCATCCATATATGTCTGTGTCCAAATTTCATCTTCTATAAGAACACTAGTCCTACTGGTTTAGGACCTTATTTTAACTTAAGTACTTCTATAAAGACCCTATCTTCAAATTTGGTCACATTATGAGGCACTGGGGATTAAGATGTCAAAATGAATTTTTGGGAGGACACAATTCAGAACATAAAAGTGGTATTTCCATTTTCAGAAAATGTGTGGTTCATTCTGATCTTGGGGTCTTTGCACTAGGTATATTCTCTATCTTGAGTGCTATTCTTGCTTCTCATGTTAAGTGTACTTACCACGATAAAATAACATAATAAATAAAATAAAAAATAACATAAAATAAAATAAAAACATCACAGTCAAGGTACCATAGTAGAGAGAAGCCAGGCTGAGGAGAACATATGGTGATTGTGAGGAAGGTTCCTATGTCCTTCAATGTCACTGTTCATGAAGGTCATCTGCTGGGATTTCCCAAGTCTGCCTATACAGAGGATCTGTGAGGTACTGGACATGACTTGCTATGTCTGATTTATAGAACACCTCATTTTATAACATTGTGACAAATTGTCAGTGTTTTGTTAGGATGCTTAAGGCTCCTTGGCATGACTGTAGTTGTTTTCACTAAGTGCCAGGTATGAATTCCAAAGCAGCATCAGTTTATGCTTCCTGGAATCCGTTGTCCTTCCTTTGCTCAAATGAAGAAAAGAGAAAGTGCTAGGAGCAAAATTGTACCACCTTTATTATAGTTGATATATCCTGTCCATCTACACCTTGAGAAATGAAAGAGACAATCCATAAGAAATTGTTGGTTAATTTGCTGAGAGCTAATTTCTCTCTCTCTAAGAGTCACTTATTACCATACAGGGCAAAAAGGCTGAGAAAAACTATCCCACTAGTTTCCATGGACACAGAAATTGCTTCAGTGTTTGCTACATTTCAGTGCACAACATTTCCGAATGGTCTCACTCCAATTCTGCGTAGAACCAAGCTTGATGTTGATTTGAAGATGTACAAAGAATTATACAGAAATTATAGTGTTTTGTTCAGAAACATGTTTACTAATTCATTTGCTTGAAGACAAGTAATCTTCATTCTGACTGAAACTGACTTCGGTTATTTGCAAAAGTCAGAATGTAATATTTCACCTTAAGCTAACCAAGTGCAAATCCTGAATGCCAAATAAGTATTGAGCATGCCACCACTCCTGTCACCCCCTGACACCATCCATCCGTGGCAAACATCTTTAATTGGTCTTGACACAGTTTCCCATTAAACTCAGGTTTCAGACTCCATTGGAACACATCACTGCAGGCATCCTTCAGCCAGTTTTTCTTTTCCCATTAAGTGGGAAATGAGGCCAGCTTATATTTACACAAAATGTAAGTCAGTAGTTTTCAAATTATACTGATTTATTTATTTCTAAAAGGGACTAAAATAAATAGAGCTTTCTAATGCACTTGATCACAGAGCCCCTCCCCCCTCTTTTTTTTTTTACAGAGCCCCTTTTTAATACAATATCCATGAGTTCTTTGCAACACAAATTGGGAAACACTGCTGTAGTACTTTACCACTTGAGACTTTTGATCTTTCTGGGAAACCCAGGTGTCATTCAACACTTTGTAATCATTGTTTTTTAAAATGATACAGATTTAAGTCAGATGCTTTAAGACTGTGCCTAAGAGCCAGTCAAATAAGGAGCCAGCCTAGTGTATCACAACAGTATTCACATTTCAAAGAGGATTATTTTCTTGCAAACTGTCTTCCTTGATCAAAATGTTCTAAGCACACACACATATATATATATATATATATCTCATTTAAGTAGACTGACCACATATTCCCACTTACACCTGGGGTAGTCCCAGTTTATGCTTGCTTTTCTTTCTTTTTTTTTTAATTATGTTATGTTAATCCCCATACATTACATCATTAGTTTTTGATGTAGTGTTCCATGATTCATTGTTTGCGTATAACACCCAGTGCTCCATGCAGAACGTGCCCTCTTTAATACCCATTACCAGGCTAACCCATCCTCCCACGCCCCTCCCCTCTAGAACCCTCAGTTTGTTTCTCAGAGTCCATAGTCTCTCATGGTTCATCTCCCCTTCTGATTCCCCCCACTTCATTCTTCCCTTCCTACTATTTTCTTCTTCTTTTTTTTTTTTTAACATATAATGTATTATTTGCTTCAGAGGTACAGATCTATGATTCAACAGTCTTGCACACTTCACAGTGCTCACCATAGCTCATACCCTCGCCAAAGTCTATCACCCAGCCACCCCATCCCTCCTACCCCCTACCACTCCAGCAACCCTCAGTTTGTTTCCTGAGATTAAGAATTCCTCATATCAATGGGGTCATATGATACATGTCTTTCTCTGATTGACTTATTTCGCTCAGCATAATACCCTCTAGTTTCATCCACGTTGTTGCAAATGGCAAGATTTCATTCTTTTTGATGGCTGCATAATATCCAATTGTATATATATATACCACATCTTCTTTATCCATTCATCTGTCGATGGACATCTTGGCTCTTTCCACAGTTTGGCTATTGTGGACATTGCTGCTATAAACATTGGGGTGCATGTACCCCTTCGGATCTCTACATTTGTATCTTTGGGGTAAATACCCAGTAGTTACGCTTGCTTTTCTATTGTAATCGTTACTACTACTCTATTTTACCATCAAATGTGTCCTCTTTGAAAGATAAATTAATGATCTCCTTACATTTTAATTCTCAAACAATCTGTGCTAACATTGGTATTATTATATCCATTTACCAATGATTAAATACCAGAAAACTGGTTTGGTTTTGCATAGCTAGGCCATAGCTGAGTCAATATTCAAATTAGATCAGTCTTACTTCAAAGCTCATGCCCTTGAATGAAGTACCACACTGCTCATGTAAATATCTGATGTCATTTAATAACCATGAAATTATATAAGATGTATTTATTGTCTACATTTTGAAGATGAAAATATTGAGGAAGCCATATGCTGTAACTTATAAATTTGAGGTCTATTGTATTCAGAATCTTGCATTTTGTTGTCTTTTATATGGTAATTCCTGCCTTTGAAGATCAGCCCCCCACAAAAGGCAGGCCAACAGGATGGCTGGCAAGAACAGCTACAGAAAGAGTTGCAAATAGGGCCTTATATCAGCTCTGAGCCAATCAGTTGGGACCTAGTAGATCAGGTCACAATGAAGGTCTCTCTCTCTTAAATATTTACCCATTTAGAACAACAATATGCAGTAAAATTCAGGTAAGTCCAAGTTATTAAAATCAGACCCCTTAGCTTTATAGGAAACCAGAAGGACCTCAGATGAGCAAATACTTAGTGTACAAATAGGATATAATGATGACTCCAGGTACAAAGTCATTCTCATTAGAATACTGAGAACAGTCTCATTTTCTAAAAATTGGAGTCACTGTTGGCAGAATAATTGAGTGTTAGATTTATGAAAATATATTGGAGTCATCCATTCTTTTGAGTATTTAATGATCCATTTAAGTTTAAGCCATACGCATTTCAAAACAAAGACATTCATTGTGCTATCATAGGAGTTTCTACTTTAAGAAAATTCTGTATAAAGCTGTTTTTTATTTTAACAACATTCTTTTAAGTGTTAATCCCATTTTACTGTCTAGTCTAGATCAGGGTTTCTCAACCTTGGTGCTACTGACATTTTTGGACTGGATAATTCTTTGCCTTGTGTTTTATGGGACATTTATTAGTATCACTTGTCTCTACACACTAGATGCCAGAAGCACCTTCTCCATAGTCATGACAATACAAAATGTTGCCAGATATTGCCAAAAGTCTGGGGCAAGGGGAACAAAATTGCCCAGTTAGGAACCACTGGCATACAGGCTTCCTCTATGTTAGTCTAGGAAATTGACAAGGTAGAAAATAAGGGAATTAATATTAAATGTAAAACTCTGATAACATTCAGTACCAGTTCAAATTTCCTTAGAAGTCAGAGTTCTGGTGAATTTAACTTGGCCAAATTTAGGAGTAATGGCTTGGAAACAAACCTGACTTAAGAAAGAGATGTTGGGGAGGGTATGTACTATGGTGAGTGCTGGGAATTGTGTAAGACTGATGAATCACAGACCTGTACCCCTGAAACAAATAATACATTATATGTTAATAAAAAAAAAAAAGAGATGATGGGAAAGATAAAGTACTGGCTTTCAGGCTTCCAGAATCAGCACAAAATCTTCAAGAGAAGATCTCCCCATGTAGGTCTTTCCTTTCTGGCAGTGGTTAGGGCTCTCTGAGAAGTGCCCCAAATCTCCAAGGGAAGTCCACATTTTCTCTCTATTTCCCTGCCCTTTGCCCTGTCCTAGCATGAGGCAAAGTTTCTGTTTTGCAGCTCAAAGTTAATGGGCAGTATTCTACATGTTAGGGATGGAGTCCAGAGATGAAAAAACACTGTCCACAGGGGGCATTTTCACTTGGAGTCACTCCTAAATTTGGATTAGTCTTCCTCCACCCTTGCATTCTCTCTACTTTTCATCTTATCCTCCAGTGCAACAGGTAATGCTATGGATTCCTACAGATCCCCCAATTCCAACTTTCTCTATCCATCTTCCAAATCAGGCAAGGATGGGAGGCGCCATGGTAGAGGAAGCATGAGGAAAACTTCAGTTATTTTTAGGTTTCTTTTTTCCATGTCTCTTTGTGATGACAAAGTGGTAAGAATTCAAGGGCCAGAGTATCTCAGGAAAGAGGCTATTAAAGGGGCTTTTTGCCATAGTTTTAATTCAAGTTCGCTCAGCGCGTAAGTATTTAGAGGCCCTGATTTTCAATTTCCATCTATGTTAAAGACCTGAATAATATTCAAGCCTCATCTTCCTCTTCCTCTCTTAATTGAGTCTCAGGTAAGAGATAATCCAATTGCTTTATAATTAGAAAAGTTGACATTTTACCTGTCACTGGATTTCACACTTTCAATAAGAATAAAGCCAATGATGAAACCGTAGGTATCAGTCACAGGCCAATACAGAGGTTTTTACTTTAGAGACTAGCCACATATTTGAATTTAGAGATGCAGAAAATTATATAAAAACAGTCAGTTTTTCTACTGCTTTTCTGAACTCTTTGGGTGAGACAATCCACATAAATGGGGGATTTGTAATCATTGTTTGGGTAATAATTAACCACTGTGTGTGGAAGGGCCTGCCATTTCTTGAAAGCTTGGATGTGAAACTACAGACTAGATTTCCAAGTGTCATAATCAAAGCATCATCTGTTAGGAATGAATCAAACATCTGTATTATTTTTTAAAATTGAGCTTACTTGAGAATGTTAACAGTCATGAGAAACCTGTGATCAGTGTTTTGCAGAATCACTTTAAATAGATATTCCTATCACTGTTTAGAAGCGAGGAAAAGAATCATCTGTGTGTTTACTTTGTGGGGCTTACGCAGTGAAATTAAATGAGCTAAAAATTTTTTTTCAGGAGCCTTCCTTTTATAAACTGGTGAGCAGAAGAATTTAGTGGTTAATTATTATACATTTATTTTGGAAAGTCAAACATAGTTTTAAACATTCATTTTATTTGCAGGAACCATACATGGAAAATCATAGAATGATAAAACTCTGTTCTATTCTAAGCTAGTAAGTTGTTTCTAAGACATACGTTGCTGAAATTGTAAACCTTTTAATAAAGAATGTAGGTTGTGGAAATGTATGTTAATTTGAGATGTAGAAAGTTAAAAAAATAATATTCTCAAGGTTATATGCAAATAGTCACTAACTACGGGAAGGTTTTTGAAAACATGATGTGATGATAATAATTAGGGCTTTGAATGTCAGAAATTTAGGAAATGGACCAGCCATTTAAAAGGCAAGTATGTATGAAACAAATTTGTATTTTCATGTTCATTCTAAGGACAGAGGAGTAAACTGTTAAGGTTAGTGCTGCAAACAGGCGCAATAACTTTGTTACAGAGCATTTCACTTCTCTGCTCTTGTTTTCCTTTAATTGTCAAAATGGGAAATAGCTGCTTCAGTGGCAAAATGCATTGTGAAATGCAAGAATTGTCAAAGAATGCAATTGCTCTATGGCATTCAATTTGAATCTTGATATACCTATCTGAAGCAGGTTAATGCCAATAAATTGTGGCAATAACAAACTGTGAAATCCATAGGTGTGCTTCTGCTTTCATAGCATAGTATTTTCCCTGAAGACAGCAGGCAATCCAAATGCAAGCTTGCTTCATTCAGAAAGCACAGTGTCTGCAGATTTTTGGGTTTCATTATAATAACCTGTAAGTGAGATCACAGGAAATGTATTAGTGAATAATGGATCAATTGAAATTGATTAGCTAGCAAAAAAATCACCCCTATATATAAATCTTTCTGAGGAACAATCACCTTTAGCTTGAAAAATACACGTTTGTCATTTCAGGAGAAGACAGTGAAATATTTAAAGTATTCTGTTTGCTAGACAAATGATTCCTTCAAGTCTCTAATAAGTCTGCTTTAAGCTTTCTAAAAAATACAGCTGATATTTTACCTTCTTTAATTATCTTTCCTGCATCAGAAACCAAATTCCTTTTCAACTTGGAGTCGAGTAGGAAGCTAAGAAAAAAAAAAGAAAAAGATACAGAGCTAGCATTTCTCCATTTTAAGGCAGAACAAAGAAACATGATAAAGTCATAGTTGCCGTTCATAGGAAAATAGCTTCATAGAGGGAACTGGCAAGACATTCCTCCACCTTAAAAGGAAAGAAGCTTTGTAAAGCTCACCGAGAGCAAAGTCCTTGAGTTCACATTTTATTTCCATTTTGAGGGAGAATAGCCTAAGTACTGGGAATTTATATTCTTTTTCTCTTACCCCAAATATTGTTCTCAAAAAATATGCCATGATTGTTCGAAAACATCTTTTTTTTTGTGGCTAGTTAAAATCAAAAGAACAGTTACCTGTGTTTCTCGTAAAGACATTTATAGATCTTGTAGAAGGATCTTTGTTTGACAAGTATATTTTCATAAACTCAGAGGCCTTGGTGGTACCCCACGATTCTGCTACTGTCCAGTGAGTTTAACAGGTCCTTATACTTTAGACTCTTTGGTCTATAGCTCACTGGTAGCCACAGGGTGGTCCAGAAATGTAAATCTGTCAATCAGTTCTTAAGGGTAAATGACTTTTAGGAATCTTTATGATTTACTCAGAACATAGGAGAGCTTAAAGGGTTATTAAAAATTGGTTTATTATGAGAACTTACCAAGGGCTCTAATTCTGGATTTTAGCAAGAAATCCAGCTGCCACATGATCCTGAGCCATAGTGAAAATTTCCTACATCACATATGTAGATAGTTGGAATAACATGCTTGTTTTTGAAGAACAATTTGTGATCAGGACATTAGCAGTGTTGCCTTGAACTAGTCTTGCTTCTCAATGGCTGCTCTCTTTGCTTCACGTTATTTTTAGCTTCTTGTTAGCAATTCATTTTCAGTTAACTCTACATGTGAAGTGATGCTATTTACATGAACAATATTTTGGGGTTACATTTTTTCCTCAGCTAGACTTTAAGGACTATATACATTGTGGTTCAGATAGACTCATCATATTACTATTGCTAAAAAAAAAACCATGTATCCATCACTCCTCTAAGATTTATTTGGTCTGTACATGGTAAATTCAGCCATACTTTGGCCTTGGTGCCTTTTTCCTTTGAATTCCTTCTTTGCTTTTTTTCTAAATAGTTAATTTCCTTAAATTAAATTTGCGCACAAAAGCTTATGTAACCTATTTTGTTCATATTTGTTAAAATGTTTCAAAGCATAGGATAGAAGGCTCTACATTCTTTCTTTTTTTTTTCTTTTTTTTTCTTTTTTTTATTCTTATGTTAATCCCCATACATTACAACATTAGTTTTAGATGAAGTGTTCCATGATTCATTGTTTGTGCATAACACCCAGTGCTCCATGCAGAATGTGCCCTCCTCAATACCCACCACCAGGCTAACCCATCCTCCCACCCCCCTCCCCTCTAGAACCCTGTTTGTTTTTCAGAGTCCATCGTCTCTCATGGTTCGTCTACCCCTCCTATTTCCCCCGCTTCATTCTTCCCCTCCCGCTACCTTCTTCTTCTTCTTTTTTTTTTCCTTAACATATATTGCATTATTTGTTTCAGAGGTACAGATCTGAGATTCAACAGTCTTGCACAATTCACAGCGCTTACCAGAGCACATACCCTCCCCAGTGTCTATCACCCAGTCCCCCCATCCCTCCCACCCCAACCCCCACTCCAACAACACTCAGTTTGTTTCCTGCGATTAAGAATTCCTCATATCAGTGAGATCATATGATACATGTCTTTCTCTGTTTGACTTATTTCACTCAACATAATACCCTCCAGTTCCATCCACGTCGTTGCAAATGGCAAGATCTCATTCCTTTTGATGGCTGCATAATATTCCATTGTGTATATATACCACATCTTCTTTATCCATTCATCTGTCGATGGACATCTTGGCTCTTTCCACAGTTTGGCTATTGTGGATATTGCTGCTATAAACATCGGGGTGCATGTACCCCTTCGGATCCCTACTTTTGTATCTTTGGGGTAAATACCCAGTAGTGCAATTGCTGGATCATATGGTAGCTCTATTTTCAACTTTTTGAGGAACCTCCATACAGTTTTCCAGAGTGGCTGCACCAGTTTGCATTCCCACCAACAGTGTAGGAGGGTTCCCCTTTCTCCGCATCCCCGCCAACATCTGTCGTTTCCTGACTTGTTCATTTTAGCCATTCTGACTGGTGTGAGGTGGTATCTCATTGAGGTTTTGATTTGGATTTCCCTGATGCCGAGCGATATTGAGCACTTTTTCATGTGTCTGTTGGCCATTTGGATGTCTTCTTTGGAAAAATGTCTGTTCATGTCTTCTGCCCATTTCTTGATTGGATTCTTTGTTCTTTGGGTGTTGAGTTCGATGAGTTCTTTATAGATTTTGGATACTAGCCCTTTATCTGATATGTCATTTGCAAATATCTTCTCCCATTCTGTCGGTTGTCTTTTGGTTTTGTTAACTGTTTCCTTTGCTTTGCAAAAGCTTTTGATCTTGATGAAGTCCCAATAGTTCATTTTTGCCCTTGCTTCCCTTGCCTTTGGCGATGTTTCTAGGAAGAAGTTGCTTCGGCTGAGGTCAAAGAGGTTGCTGCCTGTGTTCTCCTTTAGGATTTTGATGGACTCCTGTCTCACATTGAGGTCTTTCAACCATTTGGAGTCTATTTTTGTGTGTGGTGTAAGGAAGTGGTCCAGTTTCATTCTTCTGCATGTGGCTGTCCAATTTTCCCAACACCATTTGTTGAAGACACTGTCTTTGTTCCATTGGACATTCTTTCCTGCTTTGTCGAAGATTAGTTGACCATAGAGTTGAGGGTCCATTTCTGGGCTCTCTATTCTGTTCCATTGATCTATGTGTCTGTTTTTGTGCCAGTACCATGCTGTCTTGATGATGACAGCTTTGTAATAGAGCTTGAAGTCCGGAATTGTGATGCCACCGGCTTTGCTTTTCTTTTTCAATATTCCTCTGGCTATGCGGGGTCTTTTCTGGTTCCATACAAATTTTAGGATGATTTGTTCCATTTCTTTGAAAAAAGTGGATGGTATTTTGATGGGGATTGCATTGAATGTGTAGATTGCTCTAGGTAGCATTGACATCTTCACAATATTTGTTCTTCCAATCCATGAGCATGGAACGTTTTTCCATTTCTTTGTGTCTTCCTCCATTTCTTTCATGAGTATTTTATAGTTTTCTGAGTACAGATCCTTTGTCTCTTTGGTTAGATTTATTCCTAGGTATCTTATGGTTTTGGGTGCAATTGTAAATGGGATCGACTCCTTAATTTCTCTTTCTTCTGTCTTGTTGTTGGTGTATAGGAATGCCACTGACTTCTGTGCATTGATTTTATATCCTGCCACTTGACTGAATTCCTGTATGAGTTCTAGCAGTTTTGGGGTGGAGTCTTTTGGGTTTTCCACATAAAGTATCATATCATCTGCAAAGAGTGAGAGTTTGACTTCTTCTTTTCCAATTTGGATGCCTTTGATTTCTTTTTGTTGTCTGATTGCTGTGGCTAGGACTTCCAATACTATGTTGAATAGCAGTGGTGATAGTGGACATCCCTGCCGCGTTCCTGACCTTAGGGGGAAAGCTCTCAGTTTTTCCCCATTGAGAATAATATTTGCTGTAGGTTTTTCATAGATGGCTTTTATGATATTGAGGTATGTACCCTCTATCCCTATACTCTGAAGAGTTTTGATCAAGAAAGGATGCTGTACTTTGTCAAATGCTTTTTCTGCATCTATTGAGAGGATCATATGATTCTTGTTCTTTCCTTTGTTAATGTACTGTATTACATTGATTGATTTGCGGATGTTGAACCAACCTTGCAGCCCAGGGATAAATCCCACTTGGTCATGATGAATAATCCTTTTAATGTACTGTTGGATCCTATTGGCTAGTATTTTGGTGAGGATTTTTGCATCCATGTTCATCAGGGATATTGGTCTGTAATTCTCCTTTTTGATGGGGTCTTTGTCTGGTTTTGGGATCAAGGTAATGCTGGCCTCATAAAATGAGTTTGGAAGTTTTCCTTCCATTTCTATTTTTTGGAACAGTTTCAGAAGAATAGGTATTAATTCTTCTTGAAATGTTTGGTAGAATTCCCCTGGGAAGCCATCTGGCCCTGGGCTTTTGTTTTTTGGGAGATTTTTGATGACTGCTTCAATTTCCTTAGTGGTTATAGGTCTGATCAGGTTTTCTATTTCTTCCTGGTTCAGTTTTGGTAGTTGATACATCTCTAGGAATGCATCCATCTCTTCCAGGTTATCTAATTTGCTGGCATAGAGTTGCTCATAATATGTTCTTATAATTGTTTGTATTTCTTTGGTGTTGGTTGTGATCTCTCCTCTTTCATTCATGATTTTGTTGATTTGGGTCATTTCTCTTCTCTTTTTGATAAGTCTGGCCAGGGGTTTATCAATCTTGTTAATTCTTTCAAAGAACCAGCTCCTAGTTTCGTTGATCTGTTCTACTGTTCTTTTAGTTTCTATTTCATTGATTTCTGCTCTGATCTTTATGATTTCTCTTCTCCTGCTGGGTTTAGGCTTTATTTGCTGTTCTTTCTCCAGCTCCTTTAGGTGTAGGGTTAGGTTGTGTACTTGAGACCTTTCTTGTTTCTTGAGAAAGGCTTGTATTGCTATATACTTTCCTCTTAGGACTGCCTTTGCTGCATCCCAAAGATTTTGAACAGTTGTGTTTTCATTTTCATTGGTTTCCATGTATTTTTTTAATTCTTCTTTAATTTCCTGGTTGACCCATTCATTCTTCAGTAGGATGCTCTTTAGCCTCCATGTATTTGAGTTCTTTCCGACTTTCCTCTTGTGATTGAGTTCTAGTTTCAAAGCATTGTGGTCTGAAAATAGGCAGGGAATGATCCCAATCTTTTGGTACCGGTTGAGACCTGATTTATGACCTAGGATGTGATCGATTCTGGAGAATGTTCCATGGGAACTAGAGAAGAATGTGTATTCCGTTGCTTTGGGGTGGAATGTTCTGAATATGTCTGTGAAGTCCATTTGGTCCAGTGTGTCATTTAAAGTCTTTATTTCCTTGTTGATCTTTTGCTTAGATGATCTGTCCATTTCAGTGAGGGGGATGTTAAAGTCCCCCACTATTATTGTATTGTTGTCGATGTGTTTCTTTGCTTTTGTTATTAATTGCCTTATATAATTGGCTGCTCCCATGTTAGGGGCATAGATATTTACAATTGTTAGATCTTCTTGTTGGATAGATCCTTTAAGTAGGATATAGTGTCCTTCCTCATCTCTTATTACAGTCTTTGGTTTAAAATCTAATTTGTCTGATATAAGGATTGCCACCCCAGCTTTCTTTTGGTGTCCATTAGCATGGTAAATGGTTTTCCACCCCCTCACTTTCAATCTGGGGGTGTCTTTGGGTCTAAAATGAGTCTCTTGCAGACAGCATATCGATGGATCTTGTTTTTTAATCCAGTCTGTTAGCCTGTGTCTTTTGATTGGGGCATTTAGCCCATTTACATTCCAGGTAACTATTGAAAGATAGGAATTTAGTGCCATTGTATTGCCTGTAAGGTGACTGTTACCGTATATTGTCTGTGTTCCTTTCTGGTCTATGTTGCTTTTAGGGTCTCTCTTTGCTTAGAGGACCCCTTTCAAGATTTCCTGTAGGGCTGGTTTTGTGTTTGCAAATTCCTTTAGTTTTTGTTTGTCCTGGAAGATTTTTATCTCTCCTTCAATTTTCAATGACAGCCTAGCTGGATAGAGTATTCTTGGCTGCATATTTTTCTCATTTAGTGCTCTGAATATATCCTGCCAGTCCTTTCTGGCCTGCCAGGTCTCTGTGGATAGGTCTGTTGCCAATCTAATGTTTCTACCATTGTAGGTTACATATCTCTTCTCCCGAGCTGCTTTCAGGATTTTCTCTTTGTCTGTGAGACTCGTAAGTTTTACTATTAGATGTCGGGGAGTTGACCTATTTTTATTGATTTTGAGAGGGGTTCTCTGTGCTTCCTGGATTTTCATGCCTGTTTCTTTCCCCAAATTAGGGAAGTTCTCTGCTATAATTTGCTCCATTATACCTTCTGCCCCTCTCTCTCTTTCTTCTTCTTCTGGGATCCCAATTATTCTAATGTTGTTTCGTCTTATGGTATCGCTTATCTCTCGAATTCTGCCCTCATGATCCAGTAGTTGTTTATCTCTCTTTTTCTCAGCTTCTTTATTTTCCATCATTTCATCTTCTATATTACTGATTCTCTCTTCTGCCTCATTTATTCTAGCAGTTAGCGCCCCCATTTTTGATTGCACCTCATTAATAGCCTTTTTGATTTCTACTTGGTTGGATTTTAGCTCTTTTACTTCTCCAGAAAGAGTTTCTCTAATAACTTCCATATTTTTTTCAAGCCCAGCTAGTATCTTTAAAGTGATGATTCTGAACTCTAGATCTGACATCGTACTAATGTCCGTATTGAGTAGGTCCCTGGCAGTCGGTACTGCCTCTTGTTCTTTTTGTTGAGGTGATTTTTTCCGTCTTGTCATTTTGTGCAGAGGAGAATAGATTAATGAGAGAACAAAATGCTAGCAGAGTAACCACGTCCCCAGAAAATATACTCTAAACAAATCAGAAAAGACCTGAAGCAGTGGGATAAGAAGGGGAAAGAGAGAAAAAAGAAAAAGAAAAAAAAAGAAAAAGATAAAGATAAAAACAAAAACAAACAAAACAAAACAACAACAACAAAAGAAAAACCAGAATGTGATCAAATATGATCTATATGGTATATAGATCAGTGCCACACACTAGATTTGGGGTGTATTTTGGTCTTTTAGAAGAAAGTGTCTCCCAAAATTTTAAAGAAAGAAAAACTTATATATGTACAAAAATAAGGGTTGATATGATGAAGGGATGGAAAATGACTGTAAAAATGGAAATTATAAAAAATTTTATAAAAGGAATTGATAAGAAGTTGTTTGAAAAAAGAAAGAAGAGGATTTAAAAAAAGAAAAAAGAAAAAGAAAAAAAAAGGGAGAGGATGGATCAGGCAGGGGAATAGAAAACACCATATACTAGAGATTTAGGGTATATTTTAATCTGTTAGAAGAAACTATCTCAAAATTTTAAAGAGAGAACAACTTATATATATAAGCCAAAAATACGGGAAACTACTATGAAGGGCTAGAATATGACTCTAAAAATGAAAAACAGAAATGTTTTTTTTTTTAAAAAGGGATTGATAAGATGTTGTTTGAAAAAGGGAAAAAGAAAAATTCAAAAAGAAATAAAAAGACAAAAAGACAGTTAAAAAAAAAATTAACTTTAAAAGACTAAGGAATCATGGTAAAAAAGCCATGAATTCTATGTGCAGTAGTCCCTTAGCGCTGGAGTTCTGCTGTTCTCATTGATCGGTAAACTTGGTCTTGGCCGGCTGTTCTCGCTGATCTTCTGGGGGAGGGGCCTGTTGCCGTGGTTCCCAAATGTCTCTGCCGGAGGCGGAATTGCTCCGCCCTTGCCCCTTCCTGGCTAAGTAATCTGCTCGGGTTTGGTCTCCGGGGCTTTTGTTCCCTGCGAGGTTTCCGTACAGCTTTGGAGGCGGAGAGTGAAAATGGCGGCCTCCCAATCTCCGCCCTGGAGGAGCCGAGAACTCAGGGCCCTGCTCCTCAGTGAGCCCCCAGAGAAAAGCCGCCAGTCACTCCCGTCTCCCCGGTCTGCAGCTGCACTCCGTGCTCAACCGGCCTGTGACCGCGCGTTTCTATCTCCGGCACCCGACCCGGTCTGGAGTCTCCAAACCCAGCAGATCCCTGCGGTGCGCTCCGTGCGGCTCCTCCCAGAGAAGGAAGGGGAGTCTCCCCGGATCTGCCGCTTGTTGGGTCCCTGCTGGAGGAGCAGGGGCCCGACTGGGCCGCGGATCACGGTTTATGGCCACCCCGAGCTGAGAGCCCGCGCCTGGGCTCCGCCTCTGCAGCCGGCTTCCCTGCTCCGATACCTGGGAGCTCTGCCGCCCTCAGGCACCCCCGGTCTTTCTGTGACCCCGGGGGTCCCGAGACCACACTGTCCCGCGAGGGTTCCACCCCCCGCTTAGCCACCAGAGTGACGTCCCTCGGCGGAGCAGACTTTTAAAAGTTCCGATTTTGTGCTCCGCGGCTCTATCACTTGCCAGAAGCGGCCGACGGAGGCCCCTCCCCCGCCGTCTATCCTCCCGAATATCGCCTCGGATTCACTTCTCCGCACGTCCTACCTTCCAGAAAGTGGTCGCTTTTCTGATGAGAGAGTTGTTGCTCTTCTTTTCTTCGATCTCCTGTTGAGTTTGTAGGTGTTCAGAATGGTTTGATCCCTATCCAGCTGAATTCCTGAGAGGAGACGAAATCCAGGTCTCCTACTCCTCCGCCATCTTGCTCCGCCCCCTCTCTACATTCTTTCTCAACAAAGTTCTTTTTTTTTTTTTTTTTGCATTTTATAAAAATTAACATAAATACAACCTACCTTATTGCGGAAGGGTATGTTATGTAACATATTTTCATTGCGGGCACTTTCATTACCTAGAAATATAAACTCTGTTACTATTTCGTCTTTCACGTATTTAATGATTCATTTATTAAACACTTCTAAAAAACAATATATGCTCTGAGTAGGATGTAGGTAAAGGGCAAAATTACTGAAGAGATACAAAGGGGCATATTGAAAGGGCACCCTTGGCAAGTAAGCTGTTAATTTCTCCTCCCCATATAGTTGACTATAGGATGCTGAGGAGTTGCTTCTGTTCAAACACAACCCAGCACCTTTGAATAACAACCCCCGACTAGATTATGCCGCCGCCTTCTTCTTCGTTTTCCCCCATTTACCGTGAGCAGCCAATTGCAAAGTACTCTTTTTAATGAAAACTTGTTCCTACTACTCCCCATTGGCCACTGCTCCTCTTGCCTTTACCACCGACTTTCCATTTTCCATCCCAGCCCCGTGGCTCGCTTCTATTGCTCTTCTCTGTTCCCATAGTCACTGCCTTAGTTCAGGCTGTAGACAGTTGCTCCTAGGTTAGTCAGAGCTCCCCAGCTGGCCTCTGGCCCCTCTTGACCCTGCCAACTTTCTGCATACATTCCTCCCCACCATGCTAAAGTGGATCACCCTCTGAAATGTTATTCCAATTTCATTTCCTGTCTCAGTAACTCCCACTTATTAAGTGTCAGCTCCCATTAACACATCATCATCAGTCTTTATAGCAGTTCCCCAAGGTAGAAGTCTGGTCTCCATTTTACATATGAGGAAACTGAGACCTAAAGAGTTTAAGTGGTTTGCCAAAGGTAGTAACCGGTAAGTTGTGAAGGGCCGGGCCCATCAGAGTTCAAAGCACATGTTTTCTTACTGTGTAACAATGCCTCTACATTGCTATTCTAGAATCACCTCCAAGTTATTTTGGATGTCAAGTGGTTTTGCATATACAGAGAAAATCTATATGAGTTTTTGCACTGACCTGCCTAATCATATTAGGTTTACATTAATATGGAAACTAGTTTACCATGTACTTTTTTGTAGTCTGATATTCTTAGTAAATACCAAAAACTTACCATTTGGATGGTGCACAATGGTGAGTTTATCTAGAAGACAGAAAGAGTGCATTCTATTGAGTTTTGCTCAATATTTATCTTAAACTTTCTTTTTTTTAATTGTTTGACTACTTCTTATCTTTGATGTGACTATGAAATTTCATAGTCTGATTAAAAAAAATACTGATTTCTGGCCACAAAGTGTGAAACCATGTCTTTTACTACTTTTGTCTTTTTTCCTTCTGATACTTGTCCCAAGATATTATGATTTTAGATATGTTAGACACTTAATAAAAGCTTACTACTCTGCTTTGATATTCTTTTAGCCTGAGCTACGCCATTCTTTTTTTGAATTAGCATTATTCACTATGTATAGTACAACTCAAACATTTTAAAGTATATAGGTTTATGACTTTTTTTTTTTAAGATTTTATTTATTTATTTGTCAGAGAGAGAGAGAGAGAGCACAAGCATGGGGAGCGGCAGGCAGAGGGAGAAGCAGGCTCTTTGCTGAGCTGAGAGCCTGATGCGGGGCTAGATCCCAGGACCCTGGGATCATGACCTGAGCCAAAGGCAGACGCTTAACTGACTAAGCCACCCAGGTGCCCCAGGTTTATAACTCTTGACAAATATACACAGCCATGTGTCCATCACCCAATTAGGATAGAGAACATTTTTCTCTACAGAAAATTCCCTTGTGCCCCCTGACATCAATCCTCACCCTATTACCTCTAGTGACCCTGATCTGATTTCTATTCTATAGTTTTATCTAGAATTCCAGATAAATGGAATCTTAAACCATGTACTCCTTCATGTTTGGTATCTTTCATTTAGCATAATATCTGTGAGATTCATTCATGTTGTTGTGTGTAATAGTAGGCATTTCTTTCTATTGTTGAGTAGTATTCCACTGTATGAATATACTTCAGTGTAATTATCTCTTCTTCTATTGGACATTTGGATTGTTTCTGGTTTGGCCATTGTAAATGAAACTGCTATGAATTTTCTGAGCAAGTCTTTGGATACACATAATGTCCCCCCCTCTTTTTTTTTTTTTTTTGAAAAATCCCTAGGAGTGGCTGGTCTAGGCCATAAAGTAGGTGCATATTTAACTGTTCCAAAGTCACCACACCCCTTTACACTTCCATTAGCAATGCATGCAATGTATATCAAGTTGTTCCATAGCCGAATCACTTCATTTTGACAATATCTAAAAATTCTAGCCATTATATTTGGTGTGTACTGATATTTCATTTTCTTCTGCTCTTATTGCCTCCTTCCCAGCCTCATCTTTGTTGAATATGTAAAATATTATGTTCAGAGGAGTGTAATTTTTTTTTTTTTTTTAGTTTTGTAAGTTTTGTTTTTTAATTAACTTGTTCTTTTTTATCTAAGTTGTTAAATGTATTGGCAAAAAGCTAATTATATTTCCTTAGTATCTTTTTAATACCAGTAGGATCTGTTGTGATAGCCTCACTTTACTTTCCTGATATGGTAACTCTTGTTTTCTTTTTTTCCAGTTCATTTTTGTCATGGTTTTATCAATTTTAGTTATGTTTTCAAATAACTAATTTTTGGTTTTGTACATTTTTCTATTGCTCATCTCTTTCATTTTTTACTGATTTTTAATCTGATCTTTCTAGTTTTTCCTCTTATCTCTTTTTGGATTGAGTTTGCTTTTCATTTTCTAGTTTCTAAAGTGGAAACCTAGATCACTGATCTTAAGTTTTTCCTCTTTTCTACTATATTATTTACTATAATATTTATAGCCATAAATTTACCTTGAAGTACTATTTTAGTTGCATTCCACCCATTTTTATATGTTGTATTTTCATTATCATTCAGGTTGAAATATTTTCTTGTGATTTCTTATTTGACCCTTCGGTTGTTTTGAAATGTACTTAATTCCTAACGATTTTGAGACATTTCTAATTTCTTAATTAAATTCTAATTTATTTCTGTCATGGTAAGAGAACATAAGATTTCAAAAGGCTGAAATCTTTCTGAGAACATACTCTGAAGATTTCAGTCTTTTGAAATTTATTGAAACTTTTTAAATATCCCAGCATATGTTCTATTTTGGTAAACCTTCCATGTATACCTTAAGCAGACATGTATTCTAATTTTTTCCCATGTCATGTTCTGTAAATATCAATAGATTACCTATTTATTCACTCCTTAAAACCATATTTTTTATTAATTTAACTGTGGTTATAAGAGTTGCTTTAAAGTCTTTGTCTGTTAAGATCAACAATGGGACCATTTTTCTTATTACGGTCAGTTAGCCGGGATATAGTATATCACCAGTTCTTGATGTAGTGTTCAATGATTCATTAGTTGTGTATAACACCCAGTGCTCATCACCACACGTGCCCTCCTTAACGCCCATCACCCAGTTACCCCATCCCCCCACCTCTCCCCTCTGTATCTTTCAGTTTGTTTCCCGGAGTCCAGAATCTCTCATGGTTTGTCTCCCTCTCTGATTTCTTCCCATTCAGTTTGAACAATGGGACCATTTTAGATGTAATTTTTATTGATGGCTTTTTCTTTTCTATGGATTACATTTTCCCGTATCTTTGAATGTCTTCCTTCTTTTTTTAAAAAAATTGAATGCTGGACATTATAGACAATCAGTTGTGTATTCTGGATTCTGTAATATTCCTCTAATAAGTAATAAGTGTAGGTTCTCATTTTAGCAGGCAGTTTGATGACTGGCATGAACTTGTATAGGCCTGGTTTTATGCTTTTTCCAGTGTTGATCTACAGCCGCCCATGGTGTTTTCTAAAGCCCTCAGTGGGACTGAGCCTACAAACTCCGCCTTCCATGTGAACCTTATAGGGGTTTGGTTTTAGGCTTTGTTAAGGCAGGTCTAGAGGAGGTCCTCTAGAGGAGGCGTCATGGTTTTTAATCATTACATCTCTTAAGTGTCACAGCAGGATGCCAGTTTTAACAATGTGTTAAGGAGATCTTTCCACTCTGGCAGGGCAAGAACTCAAACATCCCCAGTATGGCCTTTCCCTGGCTCTGCTCAAACTCTAGTGTCTCCTTTTGCTTTCAGTGTCCTAGAAGCTGTTATCTTGTATGCCTGAGTGGTCTTGCCCTGCACATGTACAGCTCATCTCTTGGCCACAGACTTGTGGCTTCTGAGGCTACCTCTCTATACAGCTACCTCTTCTTCAGTGATCCACCACACACATTCTAGAAGCTTTGGCTGCCCTGAACTCTGATCTTTGCCTCCTCTTGTCACAGGATTGCCCTGCTTTGCACAGACTATAGTCAGAAAATCAGTCTCCTGGGCAATCATTAGAGTCATCTTGTATATTTTGTCACTGGAATGATGGTCTTAGGCTGCTACCTGCCTACTCCCTGAAATCAACTGCCTCATATTTTTGCCCAGTGTTAGTGTTCTGTACAGTGGGTTTGTCTGGTACTACTTTTGGTTAGAAGGGGAACTAGCCGATTCCTAATTAAGACACCAATGGTTAAAAGCATTGACTTTGGATTAAAAAAGAAATAAGTTGTAGTTTCTAATCTGTGTGTCTTTGGGCTTCTTAGTTTCTTACGATCTGTTTCTTTATTTATAAATTGGGACTAATGTCTACCTCAAAGGATTATTGTAAGAAATTAAAAAGATAACATTTAAGTGTATAGAAGATAGTCAAATATTAGCTGTTACTACCTAATGTTCCTTAGTGAGGATATTTATATATTTTGTAATTTGATACATTGTTAAAATTTTAATCTTTTTCCACATTAGAATGGAGATCTGTAGAACTCAGTTATCTGTAAATCAGCTTGCATTTATGAACTTAATTATTTTAGAAAGTATATTTCTGTTTTTAGAAAGAGAGCTTAAAGAATTTTCTATGGAAAAGCAGATACCAATTTAATAATATGAAAATAAACTTTTTCAGGGTCAATTTCAACATGAAGCACTAGCTAAAATCTATGCAATCTTATTGAAAATGGAAGAGATGGAAATTTCAAGGTTTGCTAGTGGTTGTCAGTTTTTAATTATCTGTGCAGGGGTAAGGACTTGGGGAAAGAGTGGTCCAATTGTGACAACATAATTTATTTTCAATTTTGGAATGTGCTGTTTATCTTTGGAGAAGATTTACCATCTTAATAATGTTTGGTTTGTATTAATATGAAAATGAGTGTTTTTTTTTCCCTCCCTGAGAGCAACTGTTAATTATTAGCAAGGGGAATCTGCATTGCCAAGAAGCACGCTAGCTACCAGGGAAAGCAACCTGAGATTTACAATTTAAAATGATCCACATGTGGACAATTGTGAGAACTGACTATATTGAGAATATTCAACCTTATTAAAAAAGTATGGCTCCTTAATAACTCAGTACTCTGTATAATGAATGGCTCATACATATAAAAAAAAACTAGAGGGGAATTACCTTATTTGCAAATTTCATAGAAATCAAAGGAAAGAAACTAGCATTTACTGAAGGTTCATTATGGGTCAAAGAAGGTGAAAACTGTTTTAGATAGTAACTTGCACACAACCACTTCTGGATAGATCTATAATTACCCCTGTTTTGTAGGCAAAGAACCTGAGTATCAGGGATTAGATGCTGTCCATTCACGCAGCTGGGAAGTGATGGAGCACAGATTTGAATTCAAACCTGTCAGACTCCATAGTCCTTGCATTTTCTTCTTTATCAGAGTGATAAAGGAATAACAGACAAATCTTACTTACCAGACACATTTTCTTCTTCTGGCCTTTTCCCAATAATGCAATCTCGTAGTTGGCGTAGTTTTTCCTTAATGAGGAATTGACCAGAAAATACAAGTGAATATTTACAAATTTGTCATGAATCAAGATGAAAACATCAAGTACTGTCACCAGGACCACCATGACTAGGTAGCACTAATTTGGTACTTACAGTGTCCTAATCAACCATCCCTGATATTTTAAATGTGTTATCTTATTTAATTCTTGCAAACCCATGAAGTATGTATGTCATCATCTCATTTTACATATATAGAAACTGAGATTCAGAGAGGTTACATAATTTTCCCGAAACACACAGTTGTTTTTTTTTTAAAGATTTTATTTGACAGAGAGAGACAGCGAGAGAGGGAACACAAGCAGGGGGAGTGGGAAAGGGAGAAGCAGGCTTCCCACAGAGCAGGGAGCCCAATGCGGGGCTCGATCCCAGGACTCTGGGATCATGACCTGAGCCCAAGGCAGACGCTCAATGACTGAGCCACCCAGGCGCCCCCGGAAACACACAGTTGTAAGTGATAGAGTCAGCATGGTGACCCAAAGCCCAATTCTTGTTGTTGCTGTTTTCCCAATCTAACACCTGAGGGGGCTATCTTGGCCATCTGGTGTCCAAAAGCAAAAGTGTGACACAGTGCTGATTTGCTACTGTCTGAGCCCATCTCCAGCTTCTGTGGGCACAATCTTTCCTATGAATTCCTTCTAAGAACCAGGGACTTGGAAGCAAATGATACATAACTGGATTCCCCTTCTTAGCTCATTTGTGATCTTTCTTTGCTTTCTACAAAACATTCTACATTGCACATCTATTATCATTTTTACCAAAATGTAAAACAGGCTAACACTAAAAAGTGTCCTTTGAGAAGAGAATCTAAGAATAACACTTTTTCCTAAGGGTTTCCCTTGGAACCCAGAAACCATGTTTTCTAAAAAGAGAGCTGTTTTCATTAGCGTAAGCATCCTTTTTTGGGAGTAAACATTCTTCTATAGGCACTTACTGGTTATGAGCAGCAGTGAAGACGGTGAAAGGCAAGGTTTCTACCTTCTCAACCATCTCACCTTCAAAGCCAGGGGTTCTACATGGGTCTTCATTATTCTAGAAACTCTTCTATTACCAACTTTATGTTTGTGCCATTTTCCCTCTTATTTTCTTAGGATAATACCTCTGTCACTAATAATATAACATCACAGTTACCCCCGAAAGATTTATCTTCAAGGTATAAATGAATATTTTTGCAAACTACAAGAGTAATATCGAAGAGTGTATAGGAATGAGTGTGTATATATGTTGGGAAAATGGGGAGAACATTCCTTTTTCTGTTATTCATGGTGTTGTCCAGGCCCTTATGTTAAGGACTAAGAAAACATACGGGAAAAAAGCTCCTTGACATTGGCCTTTGTAATAGTTTTTTGGATATGACACCCCAAAGCACAAGCAACAAAAGCAAAAATAAACAAGTAGGACTACATCAACCTAAAAAGCTTCCGCACAGCAAAAGAAATGATCAGAAAATGAAGAGGCAACCTACAGAATGGGAGAAAGCATTTGCAAATAATCTATCTGGTAAGGGGTTAATATCCAAAATATATTAAGAATTCAAACAATGCAGTAACAAAATCCAAATAATCTAGTTAAAAAATGGTCAGAGAAAAGAAATGGGCAGAGGAAGTAAATAGACATTTTTCAAAAAAAAGACATACGAATGGCCAACAGGTATATGAAAAGGTGCACAATATCACTAGTCAATAGGGAAATGCAAATCAAAGCTACATTGAGATATTATCACCTCACACCTGTTAAAATGGTTATCACCAAAAAGAGATAACAAGTGTCAGCAGGATGTGGAGAAAAGGGAATCCTTGTGCACTGTTGGTGGGAATGTAAATTGGTGCAGCCACTGTGGAAAACAGGATGTAGGTTTCTTAAAAAATTAAAAATAGAACTACCATATGATCCAGTAATCCCACTCCTGAGTATATATCTGAAGAAAATGAAAATAGTATTTTGAAGAGATATCTGTACCCTCATGTTCACTGCAGGATTATCCACAATAGCCAAGATATGGAAAGAACCTAAGTGCCTGTCAATGGATGAATGGATTAAGGAAGAAGGAAATCCTGCAATTTGCGACAACATGAATGGACCTTGAGGGCATTATCCTAGGTGACAAAAGTCAGAGAGAGAAAGACAAACATGGTATGATAACATTTATATGTGGAATCTAAAAAAGCTGAACTCAGTGAGTAGAGTGGTGGTTACCAGGGACTGAGGAGTGGAGGGAAAGAGGAGAAGTTGGTCAAAGGGTACAAACTTCCAGTTAGAAGATAAATAAGTTCTGGTGATCCAATGTGCAGCACGGAGATTACAGTAAACAATACCGTGTTATATACTGGAAAGTTGCTAAGAGAGTAGCTATTAAATGTTGTCACCCCAATACAGAAATGGTCATTTGGTGACATGATGGAGATGCTAGCTAACACTATGGTGGTAATCATATGTAAGTATGTGAAATCAGCACTGTAGTACACCTTAAATTTACCCAGCATTATAGCCAATTATATCTCACTAAAGCTGGAAACATAACAAAGGAAAAGGACTGACTGATCGTCAAACGGTATTCAGTCAGTCACTGAACTTTTGGCTCTAATGGAAAACAGCCTTAGTGTTTGTTCTTGTATTTACAGGTTAAATTTTGTTTTGTCTTGCATAAACAGTAACCGTATTCAATATCCCATTTTTCCCATATATTGGACAAGTCAGATCGTCTCAAAGTAGTCAGAGGCCACCTTAAATCCTTGCTAAAACAGTATTAAATATAAATACACAAACAAAATAACAACAACCAAGCCTTCAATAAAACAACTAGTCAAATAATTTCCAAGAAGGTATTTCGGTTGGATCACTCTAAATTGTAAACTTTATTATGATCTAAGAGAATGAGGCGCAACGGACTTATTTCAAAAGAACTTACTGGCAATGCTAGGAGAGTGGTTGTGTAGGTCTACACCTCGGCACAGTTTACCCGTTTCAGGATAAGAGGGACTTTGATGGTGATGGCGTCAGCACGGATTGAGAAGCAATGTTGTCTTCTGATCATGAACGATGATCAGTCGCAAAACTGTACAATCAGCATTTTTTCCCATTTGTTTGGCAAAACAACTGCCCTTTCTTGGCACTGCAAAACCTGGCTCAGGTCCAGCCACCGCCCACGGCCAGAGCTGCCCTTCAAGACAGGTGGCTTCTGAGAAGGAGTGATCTCAGAGGTGCTGGGAAAGTCCCCTTGCCTTAACTATCTTCTGCCTCTATGCCCATTTATTTGGAATGTTATCACTGGGATTCATTTTTCTGTTGTTTAAAAATGTGTTCCTAAGCATTGTTTTTCAATAAAAATGATCTCTTGGGAAAGGTAGTGTATTAAGCTATTAATGATTATTTGTACTTTGGCCGAAACTAGCTAATTAAATGTATTCAATCAAACAGTTTCCTGAGAACTGGTTTCTATGGCACTGGGGCTTTCTGTGATGAGAAGAAAAAAACTGTTGGACTATTTTGGGAGTAGGAGGGCCTGCAGGATAAAACAGAATATGGTCCTGATACCCCTCACTGAGGAATGCCATGGGATGTATATGGTATATTTTGTTTTCAGGCTCATCTCAGAACCACGTACTCTAATACCCTCTTAAGATGTATGTTATATTAATAGAAGACAAGCTTATCTGAAGTTAATACTCTTGGCCTCATTTGTCTGTAAATCTTGACTGATATATACAGTTTCCTCCCCCCCCCAAAGGTTAAGGGGAAGAGAAGAGAAAACTTCCTATATTTCATTGAGGACTATTGCCTGATATGATATAAATTATTTTCTTGTTCCCTTTAAGCCTGGTCAACATAATCTACTCTTCAGAATGCTGAGCACATGTTAGTGTAAAGATGCTTCACCTTAATTTCAGCAATGAGATTCACAAAACATTCACATAGCCTTATAAGATGATCAGGTATTAGCACTGATACACTGAGTCCCAGCATTGAGTTCACCAATGGTTTGTAAACATGAAACGTTTAATTGGTAGTTTGAAAACATCTTTTTTTGTGGCTAGTTAAAATCAAAAGAATAGTTACCTGTGTTTCTCGTAAAGACATTTATAGAGAGGCTCTGCAAGTGAGTGAATGTTCCAGAAGGGATTGGGGTCAGTATTACCTGCTGAATCATTTCCAGCTCAGTCTTTCCCATCTGCCAATGTTTAAATTTCTCTAGGGCTTCATCCACAGATAGTTTCCCATTTTTGACCTTCTCCTGCAAGAGGATGAGTTCTTCCTGCCCAGCAGCAAGAGAGTCCACAGTGGAAAAGGCTTGACTTTCCATCCGAGCTCTGTCTACAATATGAGGGGAAATGTTTTAACAAGAAGACGATATATGACAATTGGGGGGGGGGGGAAAGCACTCTAAAAACAAATCAGTAGAGTTTCTTGTTCCTGCCAGTCTACAAGCAGTGACAGAATAAATCAGTACAAAATTTTTAATGAGTTTCTTTCTAAGGATTGTTGTGCCTGGTACCTAGTGTTATGGGTAAAAACAACGTGTGTCATCACTGGGGGAAGAGAAAGGGACAATCTGAGAAGGAACAGTGTAAATTTCTGCATTGTACTAGTTGTGGGCAGTGCCAATTTCATGTTCTTTTTGTGAGGATTATTTTTAATCATGCGCACAAAACACTTAGCATAGTGCCTGTCACACGGTAAGCTAAGTAAATAGTAACATTATTATCAATGATAAATATCTGTGGAATAAACATAATCTCTGTAGCTTTGGGAAAGGAGATCTCCACCAACATCCAAGTGTCACGAGAGGTTTAGGAGCATTGACAATGTTACTCCTGAAAGATTTAAAATAAGCAATTCCTGCTCGTTTTGTAATGCACTGCTCTCTTCCCAAAAGAGTTTATTTTGCTCAGCACAATAAGAACATGGGATGGTCCAGTTTCCCATGTGCTGCAGCTAATGCCACACCACAGACCAGCCCAAGGTACAGCAGTAACAAACCACAGACCATGGGTGAGTTCGGTGCTTTATTTGTCCCATGTAGTGTTTAAAGACAGAAGAGAGGCTGCAAGCCTGTGAGGATGCTATGTGCTCTCCAGACTACCCCAATCCCTGTCACTCCTTATGGTCCCTGGATGGCATCTCACTGGCTACCTGCCTGGCCACAGAACTCATCTGAGTTTGTACCTTCTTTAGCAAGTCCAACCTATGTATCGTATTGTTCAGGAGGGATTGGGTAACTCCTCAGCAGTGTCTATCTCATGCAGTATCAAATCTAAATATGTCCACAGAGTCTAGAATGAAAGAATAGGTAATCCTGTTCAGCTGTGTCCTGGTTTGCTGTCCCTGAATCATTGCTCATTACTGGGAGCCCATCTTCAACAAAGATACAGATCAACTAGACTGTCATTAGACCAGACAGACAAGGACTTAGGAAATGGAGGGCATTCAAAAAAATTTTTAAAGACTTATTTATTTATTTTAGAGGGAGAAAGGGCATGTGCATGAGTGGGGGGAGGGACAGAGGGGGAGGGAGAGGGAGAGAGAGAATCTCAAGCAGACTCCCTACTGAGCGGGGAGCCCAACATAGGGATCGATCTCACAACCCCGAGATCATGACCTGAGCTGACATCAAGAGCCGGACGCTTCACTGACTGAGCCACCCAGGCGCCCCTCACATTTTATAATGATAAGGATTCATTGATAGTATTTGGATTGGTTAGTCTGGAAAAGAGACATTTCAACTACTTCATAGCAGGTTTTAAGTATTTCAAGGGACTTGAGCCTTGGGGCTGTCTTGGAATGACCTTTACCGGCTTTCTTGGTTTTGAGAAGGATTCTAACAGGGAATCTTGGAATGGGGACACAGAGAGGGTTCCTTTCTGAAAAGATTCACATACACATAAAATTGCTCCATGACCAATCATTCTGATTCCTATGGGGGTTTTCTCGGCTTGTCTTTTTCTCTTCATAAGTCCTATTCCCCCAGAACTAACAAGATGTCAACAGATTCTACACTCTAAATCTTTTTCTTCAGGGATGACAGAGCATGAAATCCCAGGAGAATTGGAGAAGCACAAGTCAGCCAGAGGGCTTACTGGTTCAGCAGCCAAAAGCACAGATAACAATTGCGATCTTAATTCTTATACCATTTGCTTTTTATAGGCACCTCCCATCTGGGAGATGCAGTTTGCAAAAGAATTCTATGTGCCATTCCTGACAGAGTATGGAAGTTTAGCGCCATCATTTAATAGCTAAGACACTCAACTAGCCCCTTACTTGTGTCTTCCCTTTGACTAAGTGTGAATGCATTTTTATCTCAAGTAACCTATGCAGCTGGATTTTCTGCTTTTGTTGAAGTCGTCTCAAGGAAAGTCTTCCTGGAAAACCCTACCAGCTTGTTTTGCTCTATGTGCAGGGTTAGCTGAATTCAAAAAAATACTGAATCATCTTAACAATATTCATTTCAATTACCCCTTCATCTTTCAAATTCTCGCTACTAAAATATAAGTAAGATAACTTTTTGGGGGGCGCGGAGTTCAGTCTCGTGTGGTTGTGCAGAGAACAAAAGAACAAAAGTTAGGAGCAGCAGTTCTAAACAGAGCAAGTTCTGGAAATGAACTGTTTACTAAGTTTACATACTTCTGCTTTTACTCACCCATCCCCCCTCCCCACTAAAAAGATTAAAGCAAATTGTCTTGATAAATTATTACTAGCCATGACAAGTTGCAAAACAAAATGATTTAGGCACTTTACCATCTTTTCTCCTGAGGGTAGACTAGTCAAACCAAAACGTGCAACCTCTAATTTTTAGCAGGGTGTGCAAAATTGCTTTAATGCGTTTAGATTACTATTTTACGGGGGATGGGAAATTTTTTTTTCTTTCCTCCCCAAATTTATATTTATTATTAGTTTATTTTCATGAAATGTAGTATGAGTTTAACATAATTATTGTTGAAAAGCGTTTGTCAGATTGCTAACTGTACGTATTGCAGACTCTTGGTCTCTTAATGTAAAAGCTTCAAGACAAACTCTAGTTTCTAGAATTTTAGTTCCTTTTGGATCAGTTTCTCTTTACAAGATTTTCTATTTGATCAAATAAAAACATCAAGTAACACTGCTGTGGTGAGTGTATGAATCTTTAGATTAGGTAAGAAAGTAACTGAGCTTTTCATTAAAATTATTTCTATTACTGAATGACTGGCTAGAAGAACATTTTTTACTGAAAATTTGAAAGGAAACAACTTGATTGCCCAACAACAAAGAATTTAAAGTATGAAATATTTACTTAATAAATATTAAGTAGTCATTAAAATAATAATTAAAAAGATCATGTGAAAAAAAAGACCATATGGCAACATAGAAAGTACTTATTATATAATGATAAGTACAGAAGCATAATACAAATTTATATATACAGTAAAAATGTTGTTCATAAAATAAAGCATGGAGGGTAACTATCTTGAGATGATACAAGTTGTTCTATTGTGATAATATCAGAGATTACTTTTTTCTAATTTCTAGCTTTCTGTAATAATACTGTATTTAAAAATTTTTTTTAAGTTTTTTTTATTTATTTGAGAGAGAGAGAGAAAGGGAGAACAGGAGCGGGGGGTGGGGAAGGGCAGAGGGAGAAGAAAGGGAGAGGGAGAAAGAGACTCCCCACTGAGCACCTGAGCAGGGAGCCCGATATGGGGCTCCATCCCAGGACCCTGGGATCATGACCTGACCTGAAGGCAGACGCTTAACTGACTGAGCCACTCAGGCGCCCCTGCATCGTTTTTAAAGTAAGAAACTCTCCCACTTTGCCAAGAGCCTTCCCCATGGAATACAAACCATTCCAAGCCATGCTATATACACTGTACCAATGCCATATCATACTGTACCATCTTACCAAATTATTTTGTAATTGAAAAGAGCTTGTCAGTAATAGAACTTAAAAACCCAGTAACCAAGATTACATCTGAAGTTATTTTTTTGGCCCATAGCTAAGGAACTAGCAGGTAAATTAACTCTGGGCCACATGAGTGAATTACAAAACACCTGGAGTGTTGAATTATTTGTAAGCTCCAACAAAGTATCCCCATCTCTTGAACTTAGGGCTGCATATCGCCAGAGTTCCTCCCTTGACTAAACTTGAGTCAGACCCAGATTATTGCAATAAAATTATGATTTGTTGCATTACCTGTTTTTTATCACCAATATTTTACTTTCACATTTCAGAGATACTATTTACCTTATATATATATATTGATTACTAAATCATGAGTGAAAGGGAACGATTTTAGTTTTGCATTTTCTTCTAATTCCTAGACAATTTTATATTATCTGAGCCCCAGATCCAGATTATTGCAATAAAACTATGATTTGCTGCATTACCTACTTTTTATCACCAATATTTTACATTCCCATTTTATAAATAAATTTACAATAATTACTTAAATGCAATTCCATGTTTTATTGAATTCACTATTCACCACAAATTCTTTAATACCAAAAGTTCTCTTTGAACTTTTTATTTTGTTTAGTCTCTCATTTACTTAGAATATATTTTGGGTAATACTTTCATGATATACACAGAAATTCTATCTTTTCTAAAACCTTAGATATCCAAGAATTATATCTTTTTTCTTCTTCTTTTTTTTTTCTTTTTAAGATTTTATTTATTTATTTGACAGAGAGAGACACAGAGAGAGAGGGAACACAAGCAGGGGGAGTGGGAGAGGGAGAAGCAGGCTTCCCGCCGAGCAGGGAGCCCGACTGGGGCTAGATCCCAGGACTCTGGGATCATGATCTGAGCCGAAAGCAGACGCTTAACAGACTGAGCCACCCAGGTGCCCCTATATCTGTTTTCTTCTTACATGAGTGAAATAACAGACTAAATATAAACTTTTTAAGTTGCAATCTTTTCTTAATACACCATTTAGTTCATTATCTCAAATTTTTGTTACACAGATTCTCTAATTTTTAAAACTGATTCTGATTCCTTTAAAATAGAAAAATCTAACTTCAAATATCTTCTCAATACTTTAGGATTGTTTCTTCATCTTTATAATTAAAAAGTTTGCTAGGGTGTTTTTAAAGGTGGATATATTTCCTTACTGTTTTCTGGGTCACAGTGAGCCCATATAGTTCCTCACTTCCCTATCTCCAAAGCTTTTTAGCTATGTCATTGATTGTATTTTGTATTCTATTAAAAAAAAAGTACCAAACCTATTATATGTGAGTTGGATCTCTCTTCTCTATATCATCTGATTGTTTCTGGTCTTTCCCTGTAATGAGAACAAACCCTTCTCCGATTATGTTCTCAATTCTAATAACTGATTTTTTTATCC